AAAAAAGGAAAGGAGGGGGATAGACAAATAGGATGAATTCATAACCCCATTTTTACCACCTGCCCTACCACAGACAATGCCTCGCTCCTCACTGTGAGCTCCCTTGTGAGCCTATTATGAAGTAAGGAACAAGAAGAAGCCATTGTGCTCAGATGCTGCTGCCAGACCTGCCCACTTAAAAACTGTGGTCTTGTGAGAAATGAGGCAAGAAACTGCACCCTCACTGCCTGCAGGAGCAGCCACACTGACAGAGAGGATATGGTGTGCCTGCTGACAAGAAAGGACTCAGACTGCAGCCCTTCCTTTGTGCTGGCAGGCAAATCTCCACACTCCCATTTCCTCAAGCTTCTGCATTGTTAATCCTAGAGCACAAAAGGTGCCAAACCTCCAGCCTGGCTTTGGTAATGACTTCTTCCCTGTGTGCACAAATATAAATAATAAAAAGAAGAGCAAGGTAAAAAAAAAAAAAAAAGTTAGGCACATTATCTCTTTCCAGTAACTTGAAGGTTGCCAAAAGTACTGAGTGCACAGGACAGCTAAAATACATCCCTGTTACTGAATACTACGCCTTCCTCAAAAAGGTGTGTATACTCAATGTTAGCATTAGTACATTATGCTGTGCCACAAGGCAGCAGCAAAGGTACGAGTTAACCTAAAACACTGCTGGACTGAAGTGTTACAAAAGTTCTACGTGGAAAATGTGTAATCCTGGAGTCCATCTTAATGCTGATTTCTGCTCCACTTTCCTAAAATCAATGGCTTTCCAGGGACTGGAAGGCAAACACCTCCTGGTGATGTTATAAAAACTGCCAAAGGAAAGGAAGGTGGAACAAAACTGGGCTTCACAAAATAAAGTGATAGAAAGCCAGCATCCTGTTTTGTGCAGGGTTTGGAGAATTCAGCCTGTGGCTGGCCCTCAGCCAACCACCCTTCTATCTACCTGACCCTATGCCACAAACCTTACTGTTCTTAATGCAACTTTTGAGCCATATTCTTCTCTCGCTTTACCCCAGCAAACATTTATAGCAGTATTATCAGATATACTAAAAGCCTGGTAAAAATTCTGTTTACAAGTGCACTTAAAATCAGATCAAAGGCATAATGGTGGCTGTGGTTTCCACCTTGTGAACCCACCCAAATAACCCAAGGCAGAAGGAACTGCTGAAAATATGCCAGGTGAATGGACTTTGTGAATCTTCACTGTATGTGGTGTACTATAACTCCCACCTGCTGCTTAAATTATGACGTGTAGAGAGAATGTGTAAGTAGCATCACAAGCTATTAATGACTAAAGATATTTTACAACCAGTGAATAAGGGATAAATTTAAGATTTACAGTTTTTTCAGTGATGTGTCTTAACTCTGCTCCTGCTGAAGCTGAAACAATGTGCTGTGTTTATGTTTAGATAAGGTAAGGTCTGGGAAGGGAACTACTCTGTTTTATTAGATTAGCTCTAATAGCGTGGAGAAAAGCAGGCCATGTGTTAGGCACTCAGGTCTACCCCTACAACTCTGTTTTCCAAGCTGTCCCTCTGAGGTCAGCAAGTGACATATAAATATCTTTATGAACATCTGTAAGTTGGTAAACTCAGGCCACAATAAATAGGGAAAATGTGTTAGCTGGTTAGTGGATCATTACCACATTAATGGTAAATCTTGAAAACATAGCTGGACTGCAGTGAACAGCATCTGTTTGTGTCCATTTTGCACCTTCCCTCTGGTCACAGCACTTTGACTGTTGGATACTCAAGTCTGGTGGGAATTCAGCCCAGTGGGTCTCCTTATGGGCTGCCCAGGGAGGTGGTGGAGTCCCCTTCCCTGGAGGTGTTCAAGGAACGTTTGGATGTTGTGTTGAGGGATATGGTTTAGTGGGAACCACTGGTGATAGGTGGATGGTTGGACTGGATGATCTTATAGGTCTTTTCCAACCTTAGTGATTCTGTGATTCTGTGATTCCTTGCGTTTACCTGGTTCTCTTTCAGAGTTATCTGCCCCTGCTCCTTGCAGCCAATGAATGTCCTGACACATCTGTAAATCTTCTCATCATGTTGCACTCTCTGAACGAAGTTAGCAGGAAAAAATCCAGTTCTGTCGTCAATTTTTCCCTGTGGAGAAAATATATTGACAGAAGAAAGCTGTTAACACCAGTAGCTTTAATGCAAGTTCTTCAGTATTGAAAATAACGTATTTTTTCCCTTTGGAAATGAGACAGATAGATGGAAAATAATTAGCACATACCTTCCACCAGTCTTCATTGGAGTCTTCCAGAAGAGTGATCATATCCCCTGGCCTGTAATTAGAAGAGGAAGAGTGGATTAAAATGACTCTTAATAGCCATGCTGCATCAGCTCCCACAGTTACCTTGTAATAGGAAGGAGGTCCTTCCTTGGTCATTTTATCTGAGCATTTACTGCAGGTAGACTCAATGAGGCAGCAAAGTTTTCTTAAATCATACTACATAAAGTAGGAAGAGAACTGCTGTATGTTGGGGCTTTATTGTGAGACAACACTTTCTGTGAACAGGAATTTCTGCTTCCTGTTTAATAAGAAACTGTTTAAAATGCAGTCCCTATTTGTTACAAGCATTATCTTGTTACTTCAAGACATTTTGCATTGTTGGGACACACTACTTTATCATCTGTGTTTTCAAGCTGTGATTGCAGAAGGAAGGCAGCAGGAAAATGGTTCTATTTAACTGACAAAGGCAATTAGTCAGCAGGGATATAATTTTGCCCAGGAATGTCTTTTTTTTTTTTTTGAATGGGACATATTTACCTCTATAATGCACAATGCAGGGTTGTAATTGCTAAGTATCAGCATCCAGCTGACTAGTTCCAAAGCAGAGCTAAGAGAATAATTTGGCTGGAAATGCTAATAGTGAAACATGCCGAGCTGATTTTGTACAGGTAGCTGAACAGTTATTTGACTTCCTTTCCCCACTGGTGGCACTTCATTAACGTTATTGTGTAATTATAATCGCACTGTGTTGCAGAATGTAAGTGGCAGCCCATTTGCCACTTGGATTAACCTCAGAAATCTGTCTGCTTGATAAGAGGCATCTCTTTGATCTTAAGAAAATTAATACTTGACCTCTAATTATTTAGCTTTCCTCACATATCATGTTGGTCTCTTTGTATCAGTGAGGTAACAGCACAAGAGTCTGAAAACACATTGAGAACATGTGATAAATAGAGAATTTAATGGGCTCTTGCAGAACACACATAGAAGACATGCACTTGTCCAGCTGGAAAGCCTCTCTTGTCTATTTGCCCAACAGTTATCACTGCTGCTGACAAATGGAGATATAGGAATTTAGTCTTTCCTCCAACACGGTGGAGTTTGAACCTGAATTTTTAGGTTTCAAAGGTGCTATCAATAAGGCAATAGAGGGGGATTTTCCCTCCTTGGGAAGCTGTTCTGTTGTGTTTGGAATAATTAAATGTTCTTGCCGTGAGAAAGGAAGCTAGAGAAAAGGGATGACTTGGTACCCTTGTGGTAAAAAAATTCTTCCATAGGAAAGGACATCCAAGTCCAGTTAATATTTAATATAAGATACTTGGGTTTTGAAGGAGCCTAATGTGTCACTCCAAAGTGAACAGGCTGTAATGTTACTGGCACCCTGACACTGCAAGGAGGAACATCTTCAACAAGAAAGATTTAGAGAATTCCACCTTTTAAATACCTTCCAGCCTGGTGAGTAGAAAAAAACTTAGAAGAAAATAAATTTCAAGTTGTCAGAGGAAGAGGGTAACTGAACCTGAAGTCTTCCACATCAGTGGTCTGAGCACTGAGGTTTTACATACAAGACCTGCATTTAGCTGATACTTTTTAGTACAGGACTAACACTGATGCCTCTAATCTCCTGAAAGTATTCATAAATAGAAGTCCCAGGTGAATCTATATTACTTTTCCTGCATGGATTTAGGCTGCAAAATCCATGATAGGGGGCAACCTGCTTGATGTTTACTGCTTGTTGAAATGGCTCTCTGGTCTTACCCTATTTTTTTTTTCCCACTGCATCACAGCCATGGACAAGTACTCTGCTCTACATCCGTGTTCTAGATTTCAGTAGGTGCCAAGATAGGTGCTTATCAATGCAATATCTGAAACCTCGGGTGCCTAAATCCAGAACTTGCTTTAGGCATTGTAAAATATGGCCATCTCTTCGAATAAGCTTGTTACTGGACTATCCCTTTTTGCTGAAGCCAGAGCTCTGGAAAGCAAGACTGATTGCTTCTGCTGCTGAGGAAGGAAGAAATCAAGGTTGTGTCAAATACGAATTGCTGCTGAAATCAGGACTGTCACCTCTCAGCTGCAGCAGTCTGCTGCCCATTGCATGCCCTCAGATGTGAGCTCAGATCTCCACAAATCTCTCTTAACATTTCCTTCCAGCTCACCTCCTTCCTCTACTAGTTCTCTTCCTTCTGTTAAGATGATCAGTGTCCAGTCGATCCCTGACTTGGGCTGCCAGGACAGTACATATCAAATCTTGACAATACTACTGCGCTGAACCCATCTCCAGAAACTCAACTTTGTTGAACAAAAATTCATCCGAATGACCTGAATCCTGCCCTGCAGATAGCAAACTGCATTACTGGCTATTTGGCATCACTTATGAAACAGTGTTAATCCATGTATTACTAAATTTCTGGTCATGGGACAGATAACTTTGCTGTAGCCTAGTGACGATATTCCAAAATCTGACTCTTGTCTCCATGGAAAGAGCCTGTCAGTAATGACCATTCAGGTTGTAGGCCATAGGTTGTTTTGGCCTTCCATGGGAGGGACAGGGGAATCTTGGAGAATGATGCATTTTCTGGTTTTCTGTGTCTGGCTGAGGATGCCAGAGGATGTGTGTCTGAATGGACTTCCTCTCCATGGGAAAATTGCTCAAGCTGAAATACACCTATAAAGGAGCAGGATGCAAAGTGGGATCCCTCAATCAGAAAGGCTGGCACTAAAGGTCACCATAGCCTGTGGTTATTTCCTGAAGAGCTGTCATGCCTAAAATAATGATCAGAAAATGCTAGCAAAACAGAATGATAGGGAAACTTGTCATTTCTGCCTTACATCCCACTCATTCTTTCCAGAGCAATGAGAAGATACAGCTGGGAATACTAAAAAGGAGATACTGACAACAGGGGCATTTCTCTGGCAATTCCTTAAATTTTGTGGCAAGTGCATGACTGTTATCATGTAGAGAATGCCCTGGAGAGAACTGACACATTTAAAGTCAACAGCTCTAGGAAGGCCCTCAAAATATGAACAGCATGAGTCAAGCTTATTGCACTCAAAGAAAAGTTGCTCTTACACTTTGGTGAGTTTGGATTAGATCCTGAGATGCCAGCAACTGATGCAGAACTGAGGCAGGAAGTGTTAAAAACTAATAATTGACAAGGACATTTGCAAAGCTCAGGATGCATTTTCTAGTGTGAAAAAATGCCATCCATCAGCTGGACGTCATTCTTTTTTCTCATCCATAATCTGAACGGCAGGGAAAAATCAGACAGGACTTGCAAAACGTTCAGCACTAGGACAGCTAGCGAGGAATTCCTAGATGAAAATTTATGTTTGAAAATGACAAAGCAACTGAAAACTGAGTATTTTCTAGTGGAAAGCCCTCTTAATCCTTGTATAGGAACTGCTGAATCAGGGCGTGAACCTCTGATTGACCACCTGAGGTGAGCAATGAGTCAGCCCTGGGAGCACAGGTGAAGGCAATTCAGCTGTGCTGCTGGAAGGGGTCGAGCCTGGCTGCACCTCTCCCCATTTAAGAGCTGACTACCACTGGGGAAGGTTTTCTTTTGGAGATTGCTCCTCTTGGAGTCTTCTCAGCAAGCCCAGGACAAAGGTAAGCTTTTCATTTATTCTTCTTTGGCGTGATAACTTGTTTAGCCTAAGTTTCTTGTATATTTCTTAATTATGGCATCTGTATATTCATTGATTATACACTCCTGAAGTGGCTAAAAAAGTGTCTTTTAAGCATTTTATCTGTTGTGTCTTTGCCAAAAAAATGGTCACTGGATTTGTTCCTATGTGAATAAGTTTGTATCTACAAGTACTTATATTTAAAAATGTCTAGGAAAAATGTCAGAATAAATCTCTTTTTTTCATATATAACAATAAGAGCCTTAATTTGCATGTGTTAAATGAAATAATAAATATTTTGGGGCTTTACCTCATCTCCAAGTCTTCATTTTCTTGTGGTACAAATTTGTACAAGGCAACATAGGTGTTCATTTGTAACGTGCTTTTATAAAATGGTCCCTTTAAGAAAAGATAATAATAATAATGAGAAAATGTAAATATCTGTCAAATATTTAAGTGTAACATATGGCCCTGTATCTGGAGCTTATTGACACTGGAAAACCTAGGACTTTTGTTCACATTGTTACAGTGAGGAATCAAGGTCTGTAATTCCAAGAGATGAGCCAGAATCTCATTGCTTTCATATCTTGGAGGACAGTTGCCTAAATATACTGTGAGCCACCAAGGCAATAAATGTCTTCATGGAGGATTAAGAGTCCTTGAACCCCAAGATCAATTTCCTGGCAGAAATATGAACAACTTGGTCTTTTAGGTGAGACCAAAAAAGTGAGCCTTTTACTCCTTAGCATATGAATGTTGCAAGCCCAGCAGTATATTGCTAGCATTATATAATGTGTCTATTATGCAGGCCTCATTAGGGATGAGTTCAACCTGTACAGTGCATAAGTCCAATGAATAGAGAGGGAAAATCACATTCTTAAACAGAAAGTTATGTGCACAGGCTTCCTGTAGAGAAGACTGGCTACTCTTTTGCCTCTCTGCTGGAAATCTTCAGGAAAAAAAAAGCACCTAAACCAAACCCCAGGTAATTTTCCAAATTATGTCAGTTCTTTGATTTTTATGTTACTGCCGTTCTGTTGTAACGACACGGCCTCCACACTGGGTATTTTGTGTTCATAACATGAAATTATAATAAGCATAGGAACATAAAAAGCTCCATTAGTGGTCAACCAAAAAGCCATCCAGTCCTGTATACTGCTTCCAAGCATGGCCAGGGGCCCAGAAATGGAACAATTATATGACAAGCAAATATTGATGTTTGCCCTGGATAGTGCCTCCAGCAGTCCCACCGCAATTTAACAGCTACAAGTCCTCCCCAGTCTATATTATACATGTCTTCCCATCCTCACTGCGTTCTCGGAAGATTCTTAGCCGTACCGGTGAATGAATACTTTTTGGTTCTTCTCCAAAGTGTTCTGTGCCATTTTCGGAATATGTAAACACTGAAAGAAAGCAAACACGTGGCATTTTAGAATATGGTAAGGCTCTTCACTTCACCAAGGCCAGCTTCGTTCTCTTAAACTCATCCCCTTACTTTTTTTCATCCCTTGTCTCCTCTGAACCCTCAACAAAACCAGGTATTCTGCTGAACTTGGTGCATGGCTCAAAACCACTTCTATCCTGAAGAGTTTACAGTCATACTATGTGACCAGTTTTGATCAAATGGCTATAGGTAGGTGCAGCACAGAACTTAAGTCTCCCAATTGCACTACTATTTAAAGTCCTGAAGCCTTTTCTTCACACTTGGTGCTGTATTTTTGTGTTTAAGAGCAGAAGAATTTCCATTTGAAAAGCAAGTTCAAAACATGATGACTGTATACAAGCATTATTGAGAATATTTTGCAGCTAAGAACCCTTCTTCCTGTATCTGTCTCCACATATTTGGTGGACTTCTTTGCTCTTTCTCTTTGGCAACCTCTGCCTGGATGTGCTGGCTATGCCCTCTCCATCTGATCACAGAGGGATATTAGAAACACTTCAAGCATAAGTTGAGATGGGTTGTCTGTTTGAAAGGCATACATATGGCCTGTTTGTTTGAAAACATGCTTCTAAGTTACTAAATCAGAAACTCCTGGAATAAACCAAGAATCACAGATCACAACTGACCTGATACAAATCAGTTATGCTGTATTCATAATTGCTTTGCCATATGACAGATATCTGTCCTCAGTTATCTCCTTGGAAAGGCCACACTGGCTTTATTAAATTGATTGAATTTTAACAATTTACACTCTAACAATTGCTTGGTGTTTTATGCTTCTGGATAAAGTCTGAATATGATTGTACTACCTGGAATCCTTTAGCAGCTAGAACCACCAGCGTCACCTCCATCCATTTACCCCTGCAAGTGTTTCAAGCAGTTTAGTAGTCTCTAACAAGAATTTGGACATCTCCAAACAGTAATAAGTAGCAGAATGACTGTTAGAGTGTATTTTCTTTCTATTTCTTTGTGATACGTTTTCACGTATTCAGAGAAAACAGTCCAGGGAATCACGAAATGGCTGAGTTCTCTTCTCTCTCTGCTCTTGCACATTCTTACCTTTCTTCCATGAAACATGTTACTTTGGCTATTCTAGATTGCTAATGACAGCCAGTCAAGGTCTTTGAAGAAGTTTTTTGAGTTAAATAGTAAGGCTCCTTGAGAATAGGCAGTTGTACTTAGATCTTGGAAAAAAAAAAAGTACTGTTCTTGTAAAGGAGGAGATAGATAAAGCGGTAGACACAGCATGAGTAAGACTTTCTATGAAGGGACACATAGCTATGAGAACACAAAACCACATAGACTGATAAAATGTGAGACAACTTTAAAGTCATAAAGTCTAACATGTGAATGTGAAGGCTGTAAATGAGTTGATGCATTTGGCCTGAAACTGCCCAAGTTCTCTCCAAGTGGTTTGATTGTGGCTGACCTGGAGGCTTCCTTGTGCCTTTTACCAAGTCCTGTGGTGGAGGGATGCAGACTCTGCACACTGTCACCAGCACCAGAAGGGAAAACTTTAAGGAAAAAAACACTTTGCAGTATCCTGTAGCATACAGGAATGCATATTCCTGGCATCTGTGTAGAGGAGTCCTACTTATGTTTCTATGTTCCACTTTTTTTTGTTCAGTGGAGAAGGAGGTAAGAAAATTGGACAAGTTCTAGTGAGTGAGTTGAGTAACTAGGAGCCATTTTGACTTGCAGAAAGTCTTTCAGAAAAAGATATAGAGGCATTTCAGCAGAAGAGCATCTTAGGGGAATTTCTGCTTGGTAATAGGAAACAAAGCCTGGTTATTCATGTGCATCGTGTGAGCTGTGGAGGGCTCATGGACCACATCTTTGTGTCATATGGACCATACAGAATAACAGAATCATATAGAATGATTTGGATTGGGAGGGATCTTTAAGATCATCTGCTTCCAACCCCCAGCTATAGGCAGGGACACCTCCCTCTGCAGTTGCTCAAAGCCCCTCCAGCCTGGCCTTGAATGCTTCCATGGAGGGGGCATCCACAACCTTGCTGGACAACCTGTTCCAGTGTCTCACCACCCTTACAGTAAATAATTTCTTCCTAATATTTAGTCCTCTTGCAGCTTAAAGCTATTTCCCCTTGTCCTGTCACTTAATGCCCTTCTAAAAAGTCCCTCCCCAGCTTTCCTGTAGAAAGTACCCTTTGGGTACTGAAAGGCTGCAAGGTCTCCTCAGATCATCTCTTCTCCAGGCCAAAGAGCCCCAGCTCTCTCAGCCTGTCCTAGAAGGGGAGGTGCTCCAGCCCTCTGATCTGTGGCCCTTCCCTGGACCTGCTCCAACAGCTCCATTCTTGTGTTGGGTGACCCAGAACTGGGTGCAGTACTCTAGGCAGGGTCTCATGAGAGCAGAGTAGTAGGGCAGAATCACCTCCCTCGACCTGCTGGTCACACTCATCTTTACACAACTCTGATATGATTGGTCTTCTGGGCTGCAAGCAGACACTGCTGGCTCATGTTGAATCTTTCATCAACCAATGCTCCCAAATCCATCTCCCCAGGGCTGCTCTCAAGCCATTCTCTGCCCAGCCTGTATCTGTGTTTGAGATTGCCCTGACCCAGAGGCAGGACCTTGCACTTGGCCTTACTGAACTTCATGAGGTTGGAATGGGGTATGCATACCCATGTGTATGTAGGGAAATGCTCACCAAACCTGGCTTTGCCAGGAAATTGTCCCATGTTTGCTGAAATCCCTGTTGATAACAGGCTTGTATGTACTTCTTAAAGTACAATTTGGCCTGGGGGCTTCCAATACAGACAGTGCAGGAGTGTAACTGGCTTAGAGGAAGCTGAAGGGCTGGTGATTAGGTATGTCATCTTAGAATTGTAAACTGGGCAGGTTTGCTGGATATTTTGCATGCCGGGGCCTGAAATAATCCATCATCCCCTGAAGTTGCTGTCATATGCCTATGGGGTTGATTCCATTGCCACACGTGATGAGTCCTCTCTGCTTTTTCTCTTTAAACAAAGAGGCTCAAATGTGCATGTTCCTAAAATCTTGTTTGCAGAATGCAGGTTTTATTGGAACAAAAATAACCAGAATGAACCCGATTCATCAAGGCATTAATGTGGAACTGCCTGATAAAGAGGCAGTGGACAACAGAGGAAAAAGGAGTGGTGAATCACCCTGCAGCAACATTTTGAATTTACTTTGTTAAATTTTTAATCTCTGTTTAGTTCATGGTCTCTGGATATTTCTAGGAGGCACTGGAGTCTGAAAGCCATACAGCTCTGTTGTTCATGTTTCTACAAAACATAAATCCATCCCCTTTCATATTTGCTTGCCCTAGCAGCAAAAGAGGAAAAAAGAAAAAGGGGGAAAAAAAAAAAAGAAAAAAACAACCAAAAACACCCTGAAAAACCCAGAGATTTTGACAGTCTGAAAAGGATTTTACCATTTCCACATTTCCAGCTTGTGCAAACAGTGCGGGCAGTTTATTAAAAATCTACCAAGGGGAAATTTTTGGAGTGACTGATGCATAATTTATACTCCGAGCCTCTGAAGGATGGATTGTAAAAAGCCAGTGCTGATCAAAGGAATCGTTAATGTGCCGCGGAAGTTATTTGGGGGTTTGACAGATGCTGGGTTTTTAAACTAATCTCTTTGAGTAAGTTCCTTGAATGCCTCTTAGTGCATTCAGTGAAGGCAGGTCTTGCAGCAAAAAAAGTTTCTTTTGGTTTCAGAAATTCAACTGCTGTTTGACAATGAAAGAAAGTTATCAGCAAACTCAGACAAGGCCAAATTAATCTCAGGTGGGCAGGATTAAAAAATGTGAAGTAGGTTAAATTTTTTATCTTTAACCAAGTGAGATCAACACACATTGGTGAGATGGAGAAGCCAAATAAATTGTCAGAAGGAAAGAACATAGATGGGATGTTGATAAAACAGAAGGGAGGAGATGACTGAACACAGTGAGGAGAAGTGATAGGAACACTTGGAAAGGACGGAATGAGAAGGAGACAGCATGAAAGTGGAATGAACAGTTAAAGCTGGCATCTCACCTACATGAATTGCCAGCTGCATGTAAGGAGCACAAGGGGTCTAATAGAAAAAAAGTTATATTCTCTGTGATTTATTTTTGTAGTGTACATCTCATGTGAACTTTAGCCTCCTTGTGCTAGAGAAGTCACTGATGGTTTGGGCCTGAAGTTTTACTAGAAGTGGTCCAACCCACTTTGAACTTATTGCTTCCCTTGCCACGACTGAATTCAAAAAGGAGGTCATGTACACCATCCCACTCTAGCTGAGATTTCATCACTCAGCTCTGGTCTGGTAATGTAAAAGCATTACTTCCTAAAAAGCAGACAAAGGAATTGGCTATTAATATTATGGGGGCACATTCTGTAGCTGTAATGAGAAGATGCAATTATAATCAAGATTCATTGTGATGTATATTTTACAGACATATGGGTATTATATGATTCATTTCCTATACCGAAGAGATTGTGGTGTATATGGAGACATGTAGACAAGTCAGACATATGGAAAGAGAAAAAAAAGTCTTATTTTTATTCCATTTTACCAATGTGAAACTGAAACTTTTTAAGTGACTAGTCTAAAGTCATGAAGCACAGGAGATAAGGAATAGACCTGAACATTGTCCAGTGATGGAAACCAGTGGCTTGGATCTCAACTGCTGCTCAATAAAGCATTCCCCAAATTCTTTCACTAACTTGTTGCCTCACCCACCTCTCCCTTCCAAAACCAGGAATAGGTTCTACACAAGGCCAACACGTGCAAAGATGCCATCCTGGCCTAGCAGCACTCACCACTGTTGCTGCGTTTCCTGCTTATGTCAAGGCTGCTATCGGCTTCCTCAGGAACTTCTGCCAGATCTGCTGTCTGCAGGGACAGAGAGAGCAAATGAGATGGGAAAAGCCAGGGAAAGCGAGCAACAAGGTAAGATAAAACCTCACGCGAGCCTTTGGGGAATGCAGAACTTGGGTGCTATCAGAGCAGAGCAAATCAGCCTGATGGGACTGTAGAAAACACTGATCTGGTGGTGCACAACAGATACCCCGCTTTATGGGGAGGAATAAAAGCCCACAAAGGACTCTAGAGAAAATTTCCTGTTGTGAGTACAAAACATTTCTGCGGTGTAAAGTAAAATGAAAGTTAAGGAATAATTGAGTGTGTTAAACAACCTGAGTCTGTATAAAACAGAAGTTTGGGGAGATTGGAGATGATGATTTTTTTAAATAGCTGATGATGGAAGAGACTGGCCATTAATTGAAACTATTGACTAACAATTTATTAATTCTGAACACATTTTTCAGTAAAATAACTGTAAGAGAAGTGTGATTTTAATTCTGTTAACATTCTGGGTGGGAAAAAAAAGGAGAAGGAGTATATTGGAGTTGTGCAATCAGCCTAGAAGTATTTGCCTTCAATTTCTTTTTTCAATCTGGCTGGTATAACAAAGCTCAAATATTGTTGTTAGAATTACTATGATTTCTTACGTGTACCATATTAATGTCAATCATGATTAGGGACCAATTGTTCTAGGGCATAAGAAAACACAGGATGACAGGATCCCAAGCCTCTCAAATGCGCTCTGCGTAAGGCGCTGGATTCCTCAGCTGGGTAGTTGGCTTCTCCATGTATACATAGCCTGACAGGAACCAGGAGCCATGCCAAACAGCTCTGTCCGAATCTAACCTTAAGGAGCTTCTCTTTCTGAACTACTTTTGGATAAAACATCACCACATGAACAAACAAACAAACAAAACTTTAAAACTGAAGCTTGCGTCATAATTTTTTATACTATTTTTTCCTTTCACTAGTGTTGACAACAATACTTTCATTTTAGAAAATATATTAGCAATTCACTATATTTTCTAGGAATTTTATTTCTTAGCTACTTCTCACTGCTGAATGACAAAGTTAACAGTAGATTTATGCTGTAGGTATCCTGTGATAATCATGTCTCTCTTACTATTTTCACAGCCTTCCACTTTATTTTCTATCATGCACTGTTTTTAGACTTCACCCTTTAGGAAAAGGTCATGCTTGTCTTGCACCTTGTACAAATGGGTCAACCCTGGGTGAGAAGGGATAGAAATGATAACAATGAGTCAGAGTAGAGCAGAGCTAGGGGTTGCTAGTCACTGGGTAAGGGAGGGAAAGACTGGCTTTGGTGAAATAGCAAGTTGCAACTATTTTTCAGCCCACTGCTGTGGTATGCTCCTCAGTTTTCATGAACTAGCATCAAAATTACTGATTAACTTCATATTTTATTGATACTACTGCATATGGGATGTGCAGTGACTGTCTCTTCAGTATATAACTAATCCAAAACCTCCTGAAATAACATCACTTACATTTAAGGACTATTCAGACAAGAAGCATATAATGGAGTCTCATGGTAGAGGTACAGAGCTGCTTTTGAGAAGACTAATAAGAACTGGAATCACATTTATATCACCTCAAGTGACTTTCTGTATAAATGTGGGTTGCAGAAGCACATTTTGAAGGAAGCAGTAGGTAGTAAATCTGGAACATATGGCTACTTTCTTTTAGAGGAAATGCAGAATCCAGGCTGAAATTCACAGTGGGTGCATCCACACTGCTCAGTCATATTAAAAATACCTTGGCTAGTTCAGAGCAAGATGATATCTCCACTCTGGGCAGACATGAGCTTCAGTCCTAGGAGTTGTAGAGGCAGGGCACGGCTCCTGGGCTTGCTGCCTTTGCTGTTAACTATTCTTGGCAGTTACAGCTATACTGCTCTGAGCCTGAGCTAACCCTCTCCCTCTCATGGCTTGGACACATTTGTGAGGTGCAGTAGGAACCCGGGTATCAGCATGTCCCTGGTTTGTCCCATGGCAGAACCCTGAAGCCCTCCTCAGCTGCCAGGATCGAGGCACGATTGAGCTGCAAAGTCCCAGTGATGCTATGAGCCTTGCAGCTGCATTAATGCCTCTGTTTCAAGAGAAGAGCAGCACAGAAGTGAGCAGGGAAGACCACTGGGAAAGAATTGTAGTCCCTGTGCGTTATCAACTGCATGGGCACCGATAGCTTGCATGCTCTGGTGCATTTTCACCTGGGCTCTAAGGGCTCTTTGTCACCCTCTCCTCTGGCCCCTGGTCAGTGCCTGCTCCTTGGTCACGCATCACAGTTGTGAAGCTTTATGCACTCATCATTTTGATCAGGGTTGGGTCTGTCCCTGTTTTTTGTTCTTGACTTAATCCACAGGCTTGCACCAGCAGAATCTGTGGTTTCACATGCCTGTTTATTCAGTTCTCTAGTGTTTTCTGTTTTCTGTATGCTGACACGTTTTACGTTTGCTCTCAGCCTCACTACCCTGCAGAAATTCTCATAATGAACCTGCGTTCCTCGTTCTACACCCACACCCTACTTAGTTACGATCACTCCTCTAGGGAAAACACAGCATTCATGATTTCTACGCTTGAGTAGTCATTCATAATTCAGTGCAGTGCTTTATTGATTTAATAAGCAATAACTGCATTTGTAGAACTTCTGTTTCAAGTAAATGGAATAATTGAAAGAAAGAAGTGTAATCACAATGGGACAGGAGGTAAAGTCACTTTGGGTTTTAAAAAAGAATGAAAATTACCAAATTCCTTCTAAAGCACAAACAAGAGTGGATGAAGGACATGTCCTTTAATAAATCCCTTCCAGATTTCACTTAGTTCTTGGGTAAATTTGTGTTCTTCCCATCTGAGAAATGAGTATCTGTTTAGAGACCACCTATGCCATCTGAAGTACCACTCACTCACAAGTGAGTATATTTTTAAATCCTAGGAAGACACCCTACCAAACGTAACTATATTTTAGCTCAAGTTTAACTTAAACATGTAAATATTTGCACAGAGGCCTGGAGACCAAGTCTTACAGTGTTTCTGTGCATGGTAAGTTTTTTTTTTTTCTGATGTGAGCAAAGGAAAGGCTGTCAGATAGCTTGGGTCTAATTTTTAGACATGATAATCAGATCCAGTCTGTGGAGCATTTAATTGTGACTGCTTTTCGAGATGTGGGAGAATCTCCTGGTGAAGAATATAAGAGATAATCTGACCTCATGGACACCAACACTGCTGAAATATCATTTCTCTCTTTAATTGTCAAGTGGTACTGTTGAACTAAGCAGGGATTTACAGCAAGGAACTCTTTCTTCCCTTGTCCTCATTCTCCACTCTCTTGCCATGGTCCTGAAGAAACTGACTTCAGTGATGGGGGAGAATGAATGATAAGTTTTAATATGGAGGTGAAAATCTCTTTGTCTGGATGAGGAGCTGCGAGATATGGTTTAGTAGCTTGTGGTAGCAGTGGTAATGTGAAGATGGTTGGACTAGATGATCTCATAGGTCGTTTCCAGCCTTGTGATTCTATGATTCTATAACAGGCTGAGAATACCTGTCAGGATTTGAGGTTTGGAGGGAGGAGCTTGAATCTGTGATGTTTCTCTCATGAGAATAAAAGATTATTCACTTAAATTGTATTTTTCTCTTTTTCTCAAAAGTCATCTAAAAGGTACTGAGTTTATAAAAATAGTGTTTTCTTGTCTCATCTTGGGAGCTGGGAACGGGTTTGTTAGTGTTTTTCTTTTTGTGTGTATTTGTTTTACAGTCTGAAATACAAGTTTAGTGGACTCCTGTGAATGAATAAGTACTGTTTCTCCACAAAAAAAAAAAAAAGGAAGAAAGATGTGGGATACTTACAGAGTTCCTATTGGGAGAATCAGACCCACTTCCAGAACTGCCCTTCTTGGTTTTCTGGGCTAATGAAGTCCCAAAGCGAAGAGTTTCATACACAGGATCAACCTTATTGCCACAGGCTGCAATGGAAAGAGGAAAACATACATCAGTGCCTCAAAGATATTTCTGCCCTGGTTCCTGCTCCACCTGTAGAAACAGCTGCTTGTACCGAGATGTTGGGATACGTGTTTAGAAATACAGGTTGAGAGGCTATCCTTATAAAAAGCATTTGAAAGTCTTAATAGAATTGGCTTTTGCTAGTGGCTTTTTGCTGTATCTTTGCTCATGTTAAGATTACGTTTCCTTCACGCAGGCTCTCTGAGTCCCTGTCATTGCCTCATCTCAGTCCATCTGCAATCCTCCTTCCCTAATCTCCACTAATGCTATGTTGACATGAGTGAGTCAACATATCAGGAGGCTTTAATCCATGTTTCTCGCCTGTTCCTACCACTAACTTCTTAGATTGCTCTCCATGCTGCATACTTGATGAGAAAAAACTTGCATCTTCCCTGAGCATCCAGGTGGTGTGTGCAGGCTTTCACCTTTATGCCGTTAACCCTCACAGAGCTGTTACTGGGATAATGTGGATAAATAAGGTGACCTGGATCTTCCTGAGAAGGTGTTGATAGCACCAGTGTGGGACCATGTGGGATCCGGGGGCAGTCATAAGAAAATACCTGCCATAGGAAATGCATTCCAGGTTGCTCAGCGTAATCTAGGAGTAGTGAGAAAGGCCACCAACCCCACTGGCATGTCTGATGATTTTCACTCCCACACTTTCCCTCTTAGTTAACCCCAAACTAATCTCTCGTGAAAGAGAAATGAACATCTCCAAGTGGCATGAACGGATCCAGATGAAAGCCTTCTATACGTACTGCCTTGTTAGACCTCAGCTTCCCTTGTCATACCAGGCAGTAGATGCTTAGAATACAGCATCTTAGTAACACTGTATGGGAGGGAAATTTGGGCAAAGTACTAAAAAAATGCTTGGGATTTTGATTTTTGATGGGAACGAAGTACATCTCATTTTTAAGTCAGAGATTGCTCAGAATGCTTCAATTACTAATGACAAAAATGACAATGATGGATGGTTTTGAGAAAGAGAAACTTAGATGAAATCTATGTAACTAACTTCCTTTTCTCTAAACAACAAAATAAGTGTTCTCAGGTAAGCCAATTTAAACTGACTGTTTACTTCTGGCATTCCTCTTTTTATACTGCCAGGTTTGCCTGCTCAGACTGCTTCTGACTAGGGAGAAGTATTATTGAGGACCAACTCAATTTCTCCATTTCAGAAATTTTTCTTTTCAGGTATTACAGTGAGCAAAATGTGGTCTTTTAAATACTTGGACAAACTGCAGAAACATTCTGTAAGGAAAAAAAAAGTAGAAAAGTAAAAAGGATGGGTGAAAAAAGAACAAGAACCTAATAGGACTTACAAAGTCCTATAAGGGCCAGACCAGTGATTTAAATGCATCCCACTGTTGTGATCTCTGTCTCTTACACAGCTCTTCCCAGCTCAGACCTTCACTTCATACTCCACAGTTTCTTCCTAAGTTCCTTACTTTGAGCTCATGTAGTTGTTGTTATAAACAGAATGACTACTAGGAGGTTACATGTAGGGGGTTTTGAGTGAAACACACAATAGACACACCCTCTCCTCTTCCAGCTTTGTATCTTTGAAGTGGTCCTTTCCTGAGATGGCAGAAGGACATCCAGTCACTGAAAGGAGCTGGAAGGCAGCTGAGGGCAAATACCATGGCTGGAAGTCTGCCGCTGCTGTTGCAGAGCACTGCCAAAGGGAGACTGAACGGAAAAGCAATCAGAACCTACCAATAGGCATCACTTCTTTGATGCAGCCAAACTGTTCATGAATGAGAAGTGGTGAGCTGTAGTACCGTCGAAATCCCTTTGGCTGGAGGGAGAGAAAGCAAAAACATGTGAAGCGCATTGCTGCCATGATTGACATAGTAGAAATAACCTCAGCTCCTTGGCTAGAGGCATAACAGGGCTTTTTTATTTCTTCTGCAAAGTGTGGTGAGACTGGAAATTTGCCTTCTGCTGTTGAGTCACTGTGGGGTGCAGAGATCAGGGTTTTGTTTAATTTTTTCTCCTGGAAGAAGCTAATTTCCCGTATTTGTGTGGAAAAAGGAGGAGCTCATTTCCAGCCTTTCTTTTCTTTTGTCTTACACAAAAGCAACGCTAATTAATTACAGTAGAAGTGCTGAATCATTAGATGTTCTGAGAAGTTTTAAGTTCCCTTCTCCATTTCTTCTTATGCGATGTGCATTTGCACTGTTTTGCATTTGCTAAACGTGCATCTATTCTTCCCCGTGTTTTCATGTGTCTTTTTTTAGGTTTTTCTAAAACTTGCTGCTGACTGACCACAGTTCCCACTCTTTTTTTTTTTTTCTTTTTTCTTTTTTTCCTGCCTTACAAGGTCTAAAAACTCCCCAAGTCATCACCACATGCTCCCTAAACATCCCTTTGTAGAGAAATGCATTATAACAACTCAACCTACATCAATAAATAACAGTGCCCCATGTCACTCTATAAATGATTCTTAGAAGACTGAATATTTCTTGTTATTTTTCTGTTTACCATCTCAGATTGGGAATGCTTCAGGCAATGGCTGAGTACCCCAAATGAAGATGCTAACACCTAAGTCATTGGAAATGCCATTCAAGGCATGAGAGATTCACAAAAATTCTCTCAGATCTCTGCAGGCTGTGAGAACTTCTAGCCATAGTGAGAAGAGGGAAGGCATCATGAGGATGTGCATCTTTTCTGTATCTTATATTCAGTATTAAAAAATTATACAGTACAAGTTCTTTCACTAATGAGCTGCAGTATGGATTGCGAAGGAGCAAGGGAGCTGATAAACTTGGTTACTGACAGAAACCAATTCCAAGATTCCCCAGCTTCAGTTTAGACCCAAACTAAATTCAGACACCACACGAACTCATAAAACTCCCACGGCTGTGCTGAATTCTTCCTGCTATAAATTTGGCCTCTTGTTTTCTGTTTTTGTAAACTGATCTCCACAAGAGTTGAGGCTGGAATCAAGCAATGTGTGAAGCAATTAATGTGATTTAATATTTGGCTTGTCCCAAGCCTGCAGTAAGATAATTCTGCTGATCAACTTCCTATACCAGAAAACACCAAACCAGGACTACGATTATGCTTTCAAAGCATAAAAAGATTTACTTCAGGACTACGAACAACAATAGAAATAATTGAATATACTTGAAAAGATAGTAGGTTTTCTACACAGAAAGGGGCCTGGGGGTTCTGGCTGGTGGTTCTGGAAGTCCAAACCATACCTGGGTCAGAGGAGGGTCAGGGTGGAGGTTAGGGACCGGTTCTTCACCAGAGGGTGGTGGGCATGGAACAGGCTCCCCAGAGCAGTGGGCACAGTCCTGAGCTGCCAGAGTCCAAGAATTACTTGCACAACGCTCTCAGACATAGGGTTTGGATTTTGGGTGGAGCTGTGTGGAGCCAGGAGTTGAGCTTGATGATTCTTGTGAGTCCCTTCCAACTCTTGATATTCTATAATTCTATCAACATGTGTACCCAGTTTTTATATTCCAACAATTTTCTTAAGCCATATTGTCATTTTTCTAAGTAAATCTTTTTTTTTTTTTTCTTTTTTTTCCCCCAGGAGTAACCAAATGAATCATTTTCCCATAAAGAGCCACCAAGTTAGAATTTTTCAAATACAGTATCCTGCCTTTGCCAATAACATAGGCACTAAAATGCTGTGCTCCACACAGGGCAGGGCTCCTCCAAGCCTCTCCTACTGAAAGACTTCTGCAAGCTCTATAGGGTCTCACTGTGAAATATCTTTCAGTTTTCTTTTTAAGATGAATTATGCTTATTCTTCAGGCCCCAAAAATGGGGGGGGGGAAGATAATGCAATAATGCAGAGGATTTTTCATTTGTTAAAATCCACTGAAATATTTTGACTCATTGGTAGCTTTCCCCACAGTGATTTCCACTACAGTAAATATAGTTCAAATTATGGGAATTAATTCTGATCTTTAGCTCAATTTAGATTATGTAACTGTGTTTTCAGCTAAATGCCAGCCAGGGGGTCTGGCCCACAAAGCAACATGCCCCCAACTGCACTTGCAGCCCTGGGCTGCTTACTTACCAGCTTGCCCATGCAACGCTGTTGTCCAATACTGTCTGCACACTTGTGGTGGATGCTCATCTTACAAGCCTTACAGCGCAGTCCATGCTTAGCATTTGTCCCTGTGAAATGCAAGGAAATGATTTGATTGGACAAAATCAATAGTTTCCATGCACTTAACAAATTTCCATGCATTTAATGAACGACCTGAAAGAGCTAATAGGGAGGTCAGTGGTGGTAGTGTAAATACTGATGGCTAACTTTGCCTTGCTTACTTTTTAAGGCATGTTTATACATGTTTTTTTTTTTTTTTTTTTGACAGTCTTTTCATTTCAGGCACTTATCCTCCAGCATCCTTCCCAGGCTAATGCTGCCTTTGGATATCTATTAGATTAGGCTCTGTGGTGTGACTGTGAGGACGCTGAGCCTGCTTCCTTTGCATTGCCTATCGATGTACCCAAGGGGCTGCCACTCTTGCTTCCTCAGATCAGTGTCCAGGGGCATGCAGGACTTGCTCCTTGCACCTTGCACATCCCTGAGCTGGGCAGCAAGGATGACATAAACCTGATTTCGCCCTCCTTCACTGGCAATGGAAAAATCTGGTGACACGTCAGGGAGCTCTGGCAGAAATGCTGCCATACAGAAGCAGAAGACTTCTCCCAGCAATGGAGAACAGTAGCTCTGAATTACGTTCAGTGTGGACCTACTCTGAAATAACAGAGTACAGTCTGTCTTCCAGGAAGAAACAGTCACTCTTATTCATACACCCATAAGACTTCCTGAACTACGTAGTAGCTGTTAAGCTGCAGCAACTCTTTTCCTCCTGCCACAGGGCTGTGTAAATGGGATGAGTAAACAGCATGTCAGTTCATTACCACTGACTGAATAAGAAACAAGGTAGTAAAAATAAAAACAAAAAAACCTCTTGACATTTTAAACTGGCCCTCATTAGTCAGACATGATAGGAATATTAGTCAGAGGAGTCAGAAGATCCCACATCTGAAAGTACTCATGTAGATCTTGATTATTTGAGTAGTTAACATCACCTACACGTTGCTGACTGAATTCAGCGAAAAGCTGCTTCAGAAAGAAGCACTTCAGGGTAAGATGCATCAAGTTGGTGCCAGAACATAAGTCTTGTTGAGACCACTTTCAGGGGAAGAGGTCCCTGAAGTGGCCACTTCCAAGTCAGGTGGAGGCAGGCTGCAAGAGCTGATGGATGCACTGAGACAGGCTTGGATGTACCACTTGAGTGTTGTTTGCAGGTCAGGTAATCAGCAAAGTCACTGCCTTCCGGCTGAGGCTGTTTAAGATATGAGCAGTGAATGTGGCTTGGCATTTTGTGGTGCACACCAAGGGCCCCTGGGTGCAGACTGCATGACCCCTCTTGGCTGAGTCAACACGTGATGCATCACTGCTTAGGTATGTGCAGTTAGCTTCACCCTGGGCTCTTTTTCCAGATTTACTGCAAATTATCCCTGTTGGTTTTTATTTTCTTTTCCCTCTGAGTGGTTGCACTTGGATTAGTGTGCTGTGATGATTTTTCTTCCTGTTACACTTTCTTTTCAATAACAGATGCTCAAACCAATATTGACTTCTGTGGCTTTGTGCTTGTGTTGCTGAGAATTGAAATGCTCTATCACCCTTTCTGACGGGCTATGACAAACACAGAGAGCTATGAGAAAACAGGACTTCCTCCACATTATTTTGTTAGATCTACAGGTAAGAATGAAAAAAGCAAAACGTCATTATATTTTGCCTACACAACAGGCACTCAAAATCAAAGTTTACACTGAGTCTAATTCTCTTTCGCTGATCTGTGATGCATAGCTCTCACCTTGCTTTACCATACTACTCCTCAGATTCAGCTGAAGGGGCAGTCAGTGCCACAGTCCTTCCTGCCAGCTCTATCATGCTGTTCTACCCACGTTAATATGTTACAAGCTGGATATTGGTCCTTATATGGCATCACTGTGTGATCAGAAGAGAGACATATTCCATGATGTAGCAGCACATCCAACTGATGTGCAAAATGCACACAGAGTGTGCTATTTTCACAAAAAACAACTTTTTAGGAGAGGAATCTGTGGTCATGTAAGAATGAGCCACTGTCAGTCTTATAAAACTACAAAAAAGTAATACTGTATTTCTACTGCTGAATGCCATTCATTACCTACAGGTAGGTAAACAGTTGCTTCAAAGAGAGAATTCAGTCACACATTTGAGTCTACAGGAAAGATTTTAAAATCAAAATGAAGCTGCCTTTAACTATCACAAGCTTCAATCATCAATTCATTGTCACTTCTAAGTACTTGGTTTACTGTGGGAATAAGCAGCTTGGAAGTAATTTGCGTGTATCTCCCTGCCTCCCTTTGAGGAATAACCAAAGGGCTTAAAGAAGAAGAGTTAATTCCATATTTACTTACCCATCATAGCTCAAGCTCTGAAAAGGACATTTATATGGGAAATATTTTAATTTTCCCTCAGGATAACTCCTCCTTCTCCAGTTTCTGATCTCCACCACACTAACTCAAACCACCTCGGAGGATTACAGCTAAACTGTTTCAAAAGCATGCCAGAGGTTAGATAACTGCATACTGACAATGTATCTGCCCCCCGGATGCTGAGATTCAGAACCGAGGTGGAGCCACAGCTCACAGTGCAGAGAAGGACCCATCTACATGTTGCACAGGTGTGAATGAGGCCAGGACTTATACTGCAGTTAGGTTTTGGGCTCACATGCATGCAAGCCTGTTGGCTTTGTAGTCGCTTGAATGGGGTTGTTTTTTGTAGGCATCTCTGTAGTTTGAAATAAGGAAAAAGCAGGTAGAACATGGGTGTTGTAAGCAAGTTATGAGTGCTGGGTGAGCATGTTGACAGTCATGCTAAAATAAGAGAGGTGTTTCATTAGCCTAAAGAGGTGGCACAGGAGATAGCAATGTCTTGAAACACTACTGGCAAGTACATTCCTCCAAAAAGCATATGAAAGCGAGGGATTTGTTCTAGCTATACTTTAAATAGAAAAAAAAAAAAGAAGTGGTATTAATGACTAAAAGTAAAAAATGGTAATAATCATGTAAATAACAATAATGACTCACTGGGGCAGATTATTTGAGGGGAACTTGGGCCGTTCCACTTGTCTCCCAGAAGGAGACAACAGGGTGTGTATGAAGTTAAAAGCCACTCTGTGCTCTGCTTATTCCCACTGGGTTAATCTCTTTGCAGACTGAAACGTGGGGATCAGAGAGAATTACATTTCAGATGGTCATAGCAGTGTCTGGAAGTGACACTATTCCTGTGAAGCCTGGGACACTAAAACACTCTCCTCTGGGACTTCTGCTGGCCATATTGCTCTCTGCTTCCTGTCCCTAAATAGCTGGCAGCCTGACTGCAGCCCACCATTTATTCCCACTAGCAGATATTCCTCCATGCTAATTTTACAGCACAGCAGGAAGCTGCTAGTATAAAGTACTCAGTGAAATGCCTTTATCCACACGGAATGTGCCAGTCACTTCCATTTGTGGTGGATCAGAAATGCAGGAGCTGAAAGCTTAGCAATTAAGCTCAACTTTGAGCACCCTAACTACAGTTTGCTCCAGTATTCTTTCAAAGGAGGAGGAGATTAATAGCTTTGATGGACTCTTTATCATTACCTTTAAAATATAATTATCTCCATTCATTTCTCCAAAGACCCTTATTATGGTAACTTAATCAAATTGTTACAAGTTGAACACGTTAGAACAAAGGTTCTGCTCACTCTCTTTCTTTTGCAGTCTTGGAATGTGAGATTTTTTTGTTCAAGGCACATTATTACCTTCAGTGAAGAGGGTAGTCAGTGTTCAATGAGTGGCCAGCTCTATTCAACACTTCCTCATTGGTCTGTATGCGTTTGCTTACATCACCTCTGGAGTATCATATCTGCACCATTTCCAAGCAGAAGATGATAAGTAACATCACAGGCTTACCTGTGGGCTCACTATCTTTGTCTCTTTATGCCTTGTGATACGAACACATTTGCCAGAACTCAAATAGCACGGATCCCATTTGATGGATCAATGGTAAAACCATCAGAGGTGTCACTGATGGGCATTACTTGGCCTAGATAATTGCAAACTGTTAAAACTGGGCTTTAGAATGGAAAATACTAGGTCATGTTCAGCAAACTCCTACTGCATATAAACTTAATAGACAACAAAGTCATGAAATAGGAAGAAAGCACACATGCACGTGCGTGTGTTTTGTGTCCTGTTTATTAACGTATCTATTCATTCTCTCATAGTCAGTAAAATCTGCTGTTGTTTTGCAAATGAAAAAGCCAAAATTGTCAAAAGAAACCACATTTTGCTGGAAGAAAATGAAGAAATTTCATGTCAGGACACTTGAGTAGCTCTTCGACTTACAAATGAGGTTCTGTCACAGTCATTTTCTTCAGATACCAACTAATACATCCAGATTCCCAGTACTAGAAGGACACATTGTTTTGAGAAGCAGGCCATATTTAATAACACCTTGCTAGAAATACTCTACGACTGGGTCAGCTCCCATTTGAATATCTAAACCAGTGGCTAGGCTTTTCAAAACAGCCATGGAAAATTCAATCTTGAACTGTTCCGATAATCTGACCCTGAATATTACCCGAAGGACACACTACATCACTTTCATAAATGTAAGCTTTTTTGGAGGAAGCCTTAATGGGATCAGAACACTTCAACCCAGATGAATGGAAGAATTTGAAGGCAGAGAGTGAGACAGAAGGGGCAGAATTTGATTTCAAATTCAGGCTTTATGCCTGTCTCTCCAATTAAAATAGTTTAGAAACTACACTGCTTTTCAGGAGAGTGGCATTTATTTCAAGGAATGCAAATGAGAATTATGTTAGTCTCATGCTTGCAAAAAGGGCACCTTTATCATCCTCTTGGCCAGCACAGCTATGGCCACAACACTGCTGGCTGGTGCTTTTTGCCTGTTGTTTAAAGACTCAGCATAAGATTAATAGCTAGTGAGTGAGAATGATCTCTGCAGCCTGAAGAAATCTGAAAGGAAACCGCAAATGCTGGTAAGAGCATGACATTATGCTGAGTGTATTAAGATATCTATATTAGGCACTTAGGCTAAATTTAAA